GTATCTACCCTACAGTTGGAAGTGGCCATGGGGCTGTAGTTCCACTCCAGGGCTCCTTGCTGATGAATGCCATGACAAATGGCTCGGGCAGTCCTGTTCCTGTTGAGCCATCTGTGGTCGTGCCAGAAATCAGCCGCAAGATGGGAGCAACTGCCTGGAAGCAGGTCGTACATGACTGGGAGCATCCCGACCCTGGTCGCAACCACCACACAGCTCTCGAGCACTGGAAACAGGAGTGGCATGCTTCCAGTCGCCAAAGCCAGTTATGTGGTCAACGGCGCACGATCGCACTGGAGTTCATTGAAGAATGAGCCATTTTTGCAGAATACCAAGGTCAACACTCACTACTTGCTTCCAGATTTGGGCGAGATGAAACCTCATTCCTTCAGGCTTACCCAGAACATAAGGATGGCATCACGGCTCTCTTGCACGCGATCCGGGTCAAAGGGCAGGCGGAAGGCAAAATTCTCAGCCGCAACCGCCGCAAGAGTACTGCAAAGTAGATAGGTCAGCCATCAAGCAGCTCGAGGAATGAAAAAAAGAATCTAGCTACCATTTTCAACAACACAACTACTATAGTTACGCGTAATACTTTTTAATGCGAAAAGTAAACTAAGAAATCACAAAGTGTCGTCTTCGCATATTTGCTTCAATCTGAGAATAGGCTGAAGTTATTGAACACCGAATGAACAAGAGATTGAAAATCAACCGACCTATCAGGATGAAATTGGTGGACTCGTTGTTGCGAAGTCATGGGTGCGACAATTGGGTCGAAGCGTTAGGAAACGGTTGCAAAGTGGGCAACGGTGGTGGAGAAAGTGTGGTCTATGGCATGTCTGCCAGAGGACATGCCGCCAAAAAACATGCTGCCAGAGGCAATCTCGCCTGTAATCAACGGGTACGCGAGTGAAGGTGCATGTGAACCCTTCACCAGCGATTGAAAATCAGGAAGTTGAAGAGGATCAACAGAAGATCTACTCACCACATATATGAAATTCGCTGCAGAGATCAATCGAGGAAGCTGAAGTGAGGAGCCATTGCGGCAGTCAAGCGAGCTTGGAGGGAGGAGCTGTTGCAGCTGCCAAGTGATCGCACGATCTGAGGTGAATTGATGTCTTCGAAAACCCAGTTGAAGCCTGTCAGAGTCTGCTGGGAAGTCGACAGCGACTCGCTCGCTGGCACTCGGATAAACCAAAGTGTCAGACGAGTTGAGCAGGATGCAGTCCAGCAAACTTCGCAAGTGAACTCGCGGATTGCAGACTGGTCCTCCTACCAGAGGACTGGGGGGTGCTGAGACGACGCCAATAAGACGCAACAGACCAGATACGGGTGAGGGGGGTGCACATGGGCCTAGGAGAAGTCGGAGGCCAAAGGGACGAGCGACAAAAGCGCACGCGAAATCTTCAAAACGGAGTGGAAGTGAGAAAGTTGGAAAAGGATCCAAAGAAGATCCACTCACCTCTATATGAAACAGACAGTGCAGAGAAAGGTCAAGGGGATGCCCGCCAAACAAGAGAAGGATGGCCGAAATCGTGAAGAAAGGCACCTCGAGGCAGATGCAGGTGATAACAGCATGTAAGCCATAGACACAACAGAGGCAGAGTGTTTCCCCCAGGCGGTGAGGACGCAGAAAACGAGGGGAACGCGGGCGAAGCGACACCCACATCAACGGCGGAGACTGAGACGCAGAGAGTGTTGAGGGAAGGGGCGAGGGAAGGAAAGAACAAGGGGACGCATCTTCTTTGGGCGCACAAAAGGCGAGGGCAGGGAAGCACGCGTGCACGTTGATAAGATGTGATAGATGTGATGGCATCAAAAGGGTCCAGAAGGGTCCGAGGCACAATCCCTGAAAAGTCTCAGGGATCTCCTGGATCGCTCCCACGAACCCCTTTCGGGACGAATCCTCTTAAATTCAACGACATAAGTAGTGGTGAGAAGAGCTGAAATTTCACGCGATTGTCACGAGATCAGAGATATTTTTTGGACATGTAGATGTGTTTGGCATTCAACATTCAATAACCATGTAGCAGACTGCAAAGCCTGCTACAGGTATTGTAAAGTTTTGGCTCAATCTATAGCTAATGTCCAATGTAGTATGTAGTGCTTGAAAGTCCAGTCCAGTCCGGTTTTTTGGCCCAAAACAAAAAGACCAAGACCAAGACTGGTCTACATACTTATGCCCAGTGAAAATCAACTCCAATGAGGCTGAGTCACAGTGACTATGGTTGATTTGTGTGGCTTGATGTGGCATCAATTGAGTTAGTTATATTTCAGGTGATTTGGAAGGCTGACCCACACACTGTGTACATGTATTTAATGTACCCTTACATAGTGTAATATTGATTTGGATTGAACTAGTGTTTAAAAGTCTGGTCTGGTCCAGTTTTTTGATGCCTGAGGGCTTTAACCATAACCATAACCAGTCTGCCTTTTTCCCAGAAGTCAAAAGACCGAACCGGACTGCAAAAAGACCACAGACTGCAGTTTTTTGCAGTCTATAGACCAGTCTTGGTCTTCTTCGGTTTTAACCGGTTTAAGACCAGTCTTTCGACCAATATTTTAAAATTATGAAGTGGTAGATGGTGTTTCTACAAAAAAAGTCTGGTACATCTACTATTTTCAACAAAATTTTACATTTTTAACTATATCTTTGTCAGTTTTGAACCAATTAATATGTTCTTGAGTGCATTTTGAAGGGTATTTAATGGGCTACAAGAAACCAATCCTAACTGGTCAAGACCAATTCATTTAGACCGGTCTTTTTGCAGTCTTTACTTCTCAAAAATGAAAAGACCAGACCACTGGTCCGGTTTTTTGTGGTCTTGGTCTGGTCTGGTTACAGTCTTTTTCCAGTCATAAGACCGGACTTCCAAACACTAGATTGAACTGGAGTCAATTCAAGTCTATTTGTATAGAATTCTGTCAATAAAACGACATGTTTACATTGCCTCAATTCTAGGCAATCAGAAGTACCTTGGAACAACCCAAGTCATTTTTGACCAGGACTTATGTCTTGCTTATGTTGTCAAATTTAAGAGGATTTGTCCCTGTTTGGGGTCATGGGACCGATCCAGGAGATCCCTGAGACTTTTCAGGATCATTCCTCAGACCCTTTTGATGCCATCACATCTCATCACATCTTATCAACCACGTGCTTCCCTTGCATGCACCCAAAAGAAGATGCATCCCCTTGTTCTTTCTTTGCCTCCCTCAATGCTCTCCACATCTCAGTCTCCACCTTCACCCATGTTCCCCTCGCTTTTCACTCTTCGCTGCCTGGGGAAACACTCTGCCTCTGCTGTGCCTATGGCTTTCATGTCATTATCACCTGCATCTGCCTCAAGGTGCTTTTCTTTGCGATTTCAGCCATTTGTCTCTTGTTTGGCAGGCATCCCCTTGACCTTTCTCTGCGCTGTCTGTTTCGTATAGAGGTGAGTGGATCTTTTTTGGATCCTTTCCCAACTTTCTCATCTCCCACTGCATTTTGAAGATTTCGCGTGCGCCTTTGTCGCTCATCCCTTTGGCCTCCCCAACTTCTCCTAGGCCCTGTGCACCTTCCTCACACCTGTTCCATTGTGCCTTACTGGCATCGTCTCAGCACCCCCCCAGTCCTCTGGGGGAGGACCAGTCTGCAATCCATGAGTTCACTTGCAAAATTTGCTGGACTGCATCCTGCTCGCCTCGCTTGATGCTTTGGTTTAGCCAAGTGCCAGCGAGCGAGTCGCTGCCGACTTCCAAGCAGGCTCTGACAGGCTTCAACCAGGTTTCCAAATACATCAATTCACGACAGTCCATGAGCTTGCTTGGTGGCCACAACAGCTCCTCCCTTCAAGCTTGCTTGACTGCTGCAATGGCTCCTCACCTCGGCTTCATTGACCGCTCTCTGTGGTGAATTTCATATATACATGAGTGAATCTTCTGTTGATCCTCTTCAGCTTGCTAAATTTTACTCGCTTTTGAAGGTTTCACATGTAGTGTTTGAAAGTCCAGTCTGGTCTGGTCTTTTGACGCCCAGAGGCTTTAACTGTAACTGTAACTGGTCTACCCTTTTCCCAGAAGTCAAAAAGACCAGACTGGACCACAAAAGACCATGGTCTGCAGTCTTTTTGCAGTCTCTAGACTGGTTTCGGTCTGCATCAGTTTTAACCGGTCTATGACCGGTCTTTAGGCTAATATTTTAAAATTATGAATCGGTAAATTTATTAACATGTCTACTGGCTTTAAAACGAGCCCAAGAACGTTAAATTCGGTTAGGAATTGGTGTTTCTATAAAATAAATCTGGTACATCTACTATTTCCAAAAATATTTTACAATTTAATTCATATCTCTCTCGATTCTGTACCAAATTGTATGTTCTTGGGTGCATTTTAAAGGGTATTTAAGGGGCTACGAAAGACCGGTCCAAACTGGTCAAGACCGGTTCACATTAACCGGTTTTTTTGTGGTCTTAACATCTCAAAAATAAAAGACCATAACCACAGGTCTGGTCTTTTGCAGTCTTGGTCCGGTCTGGTTACGGTTTTTTTCCAGTCACGAGACCGGACTTCTAAACACTATTCACATGCACTTTCACTCGTGTACCCCTTGAGCATGGGTGAGATCGCCTCTGGCAGTATGTTCTTTGATGGCATGTCCTCTGGCAGACATGCCATAGACCACACCTCCACCACTGTTGCCTACCCTGCAACTGTTTCCTAATGCTTCGACCCAATTGTCACACCCATGACTTCACAACAACTCCTCCCTTCAGCTCCACCAATTTCATCTTGGTAGGTTGGTTGCTTTTTTATCTGTTGTCCATTTGGTGTTCAATAACAACTTCTGCCTTTTTAAAGGTGACACTTTGTGTTTTTTTAGTTGACTTTTTGCATTAAATAAAAAACATTAGGTATAACTAATACAATTGTGTTGTTGAAAAGATACAAGATGTTATTTAACTAGTTGCATGTTTCAAACAGTCTCCCTACCACCACTTATGCTTCCCTTCCAGCTCAGATTGGGATACTCCCAATCACGGACAACCAACTTCCAAGCTTTCACACCCAGCCTGTGACTAATGTCAGGTACAACAGTGGATGGCCCAACGTGAATCAGCAACACTACACCTGCGGATATCAATGATGTGTTGCACTAAGCTGCATCCTCAGCCACAAGCACACAAGTGGCAGACCACAGCACGTGAACACTGTGGGGCAGACTGACCCTGCAAACAGTGGCCCTTCGCTTGATTGTGCATTCACGGAGGTACCAGACTACTCCACCAAAGTGTTGCCAAAGCACGTGGGTTCCTGAATGGTGTCCCACCTCTAACAAGCATGCACGTACTTCCTTCATACTAGGAGTCAGGTTTAAGAATCAGGGAAGGTGGGGAGGAGATTCGCAGGGGGAAGGGTGTGAGTGAAATGAATTTAGCTGGGATTTGAGGATTGGGGAAGGCGGGGAGGGGATGTGCAGGAGGAAGAGTGCAAGTAAATAAATTTCACAGTGAAGTTTGAGCAGGGGCCAGTGATTAGTGAGGAGGAAGAGAGAGGAAGGGGTGGGAGTGCTGCAGATGGGGAGTGGGATTGCCCTAGAAAGATCTGTTTTTGTGAGAAGATGAGAAAAAGAGACAGGAATGTAGAAAAAACTGACAAGATGGGGCAACCAAGATTTGGTTGGGATACTTGAGGCATGGTGATCCTCAGCACTAGGCACTAAGTAAGAGAGTAGAGGATACTCGTAATGATGAGTGTGAGTATGGGTAGACAACTTGGTGTTTGGATCAACAAAGAATTCAAACTCCGTGCGACATGTCGATGTTGGGTCCTGGTCTCCCATACCCAAGCGTCACTGTGCATAGTATCTTTAAAAGTAAAGAAACACCATCCATTCCTCACCAGATGTTGTCCTGTTCTGAATTTAAGAAATAACCAGACATAAGTAAGAAATAAGCTGAATTTAAGAGAATTTAAGGAGCCAAACAGGAATTTAAGGAGCCGAGAGGAGTGTTGTCATGGACAAGTCAGATCAAGTACAACCCTGTACAAAATACAGATCGACAGCCTTAGCACTGTCAGATCTCAGTGGGAATCTCATGTGTTTTATACTTGATCATTCCTTCAGCATCCCAAGATTGAGTGTTTCTTTGCTTCAGCTTTGTACATCGAAGGAGGTACGTATTCTCAAAACAGTGTGCATCATGATTTGTGAATCAATGTAAATGTACTATACTGTATGTATGGTCAGTTGGTCATAATAAGCTTGAACTTGGCGCAATGCAAGGTGTGAAGCGCTTCCGACTTGGCTCCAGTAACAAAGTCATCTTGCCAGATGCAAAATGAGAGCAGTCGCGTTGGGTTCACAATGTCGGCTGAAAAATGCTACAAACACAAACAAGACAATCAATTCGACATGTTGCATGTTAGAGAATGGTGAGTACAAATCTTTGGATTGTATTGGCATTATGAGCATGGAGCATGATGGAGAGTGGAACAGCAGTCTAAATTTACAGTCACGACAAATGTGAGGGGTACAGAGGTACTACGTGGAATGGAGGCTAAAGGGAATATGGTCCTGCAACAGCATAGTCGGAAGTGGCAGGCGAAGAAGAAGGCTTATTTTGTGTTTGTGGTTAACTGTCAGTATTGTGCATGATACCCAAAGCAACAGAACTACTCACTGTGGGTACTTTCTTTCATGGCCATATCCCAGCTTTAGATACAGAACACCACCTCTCCATAGTGTATCTGTCCATTACCACACTCCTGCATCCTTCCAACAGTGTTGACACGTTAAATTGCAAGTTGACAATTCATATGCGCGTTATTGTTGCCTTGTTTGCTTTGTCACATGTTGGTTCGGTTTGAAGTTGTAGATAGTAAAATGAGATCTAGTATTAGCTTTTGTTAGCTGAAATTCACACTCACCGTCACAACAATATAATGAAGGTATGATGCCTTCTATGGCGTTGATATGCACTTGGAAGTTAGTGGTGCTGCGGGTGGGTATCAGGGGTGCCTGAGTTGATGGCTTGGTGCTGGTGATGGCTTCCGTGCTCCCGAGCAATGATCGCTCAAAGCCTGAGCAGGCCTGAGCGCCAGCCAGATCTGAGTGTCGTCCCTGCGTGCTGAGAGATTTTCGAGATCTTCAAATTTAGTGGCTTTAAGGAATCCTGTTAATTTCACAGATTTAAATTGACTTATGTAGTGGGCATACAGTACTTATCTATTCAGGATATGCAGAAATTTTACTTTTCCATTGATGTAGCTTCAACATCATATTGTGCAGCCTAGAAAAATAACATGTGTCTATCAAATGTAGTTTTACATACTCCCAAAAATTTTGAGGAATTTTGGAAAGTGTATTATAGCCTTGGAGCATTGCCAACAAGGGAACAAGATATGCAAAAGCATGTCACAGTCATGTCACTGAGGGATTTTGGTCAATGTGACAGTCTCCCAAGCAGGGCAATTGTCATGCATTTCCTTCTTAAAATCAATTTTGATGACTTCCGCTGGTCCTACTTGCCTGAAATTTTGGGGGTATGCTTGGTATTGGTATTAGATAGTATCTATTTCAAAAAATTGGGGGTAAGCCTAGCATAGCAAGTGTTCCTGGTGGCCAAAGCTTCATACACCTATCCAAAATTTTGCTCTTTGGCATCTCACATCTTGTGTACTTCATGAATCCTATCAAAACTCTGCAAGTAGTATTCTACATACTAACTAAACATGTGTGAATTTTTTTAAAAGAGCAAAAGCAAGGGAATGACACAAAAAGTGAAATCCACATATCCTGACTTATACACACATCATGACCACATAGTACCTCAATCCACTCAATATGGGCACATATCATGTAAAATGTATTCTGTTGTATTGAGTATGTAAAAAGTGCCTAGGAGGTCATATATATAGTTGATCAATATTCTATTGTTCATTCAGATCATGATTTGGCCAAGAATTCTGTTGCTTGCTTCCAGCAGTTGTATCTCTAGGTTCTCTGCCTCTGTGTATTTTTCAAGACTATAATATGTCACTGCTAGATTTGCCATGGCTTCAATTGTGTGAGGGTGTTCTGCTACAAAAATTCTGTTTCTTCCATCCAGAACTTGAATCTCCAGCTTCTCTGCCTCTGTGCATTTTCCCAAGTTTCTATATGTTGTTGCTAGATTTGCCATGGCATCCATTGTATCTGGGTGTTCCACTCCAAGAATTCTGTTGCTTGAATCCAGAACTTGCATCTCCAGCTTCTCTGCCTCTGTGTATTTTCCCAGGCTTCTATATGTTGTTGCTAGATTTCCCCTGGCGTTGATTGTGTCTGGGTGTTCCACTCCAAGAATTCTGCTGCTTGCTTCCAGAACTTGCATCTCCAGCTTCTCTGCCTCTGTGTATTTTCCTAAGTTTCTATATGTTGTTGCTAGATTTGCCATGGCATCCATTGTATCTGGGTGTTCCACTCCAAGAATTCTGTTGCTTGCTTCCATAACTTGCATCTCCAGCTTCTCTGCCTCTGTGTATTTTCCCAGCCTTCCATATGTTATTGCTAGATTTCCCATGGCCCAAATTGTGTGTGGATGTTCATCTCCAAGAATTATCCTTCTTGCATCTAAAACTTGCATCTCCAGCTTCTCTGCCTCTGTGTATTTTCCCAATGCTTCTATATGTCACTGCTAGATTTGCCATGGCGTTCAATTGCACCTGGGTGTTCCACTCCAAGAATTTTGTTGCTTGCTTCCAGAACTTGCATCTCCAGCTTCTCTGCCTCTGTGTATTTTCCTAAGTTTCTATATGTTGTTGCTAGACTTGCCATGGCATCCATTGTATCTGGGTGTTCCACCCCAAGAATTCTGTTGCTTGCTTCCAGAACTTGCATCTCCAGCTTCTCTGCCTCTGTGTATTTTCCCAGCCTTCTATATGTTATTGCTAGATTTCCCATGGCGTGATTGTGTGTGGATGTTCCACTCCAAGAATTCTGCTGCTTGCATCCAGAACTTGCATCTCCAGCTTCTCTGCCTCTGTGTATTTTCCCAAGTTTCTATATGTTGCTGCTAGATTTGCCATGGCATCCATTGTATCTGGGTGTTCCACCCCAAGAATTCTGTTGCTTGCTTCCAGAACTTGCATCTCCAGCTTCTCTGCCTCTGTGTATTTTCCCAGCCTTCTATATGTTATTGCTAGATTTCCCATGGCCCAAATTGTGTGTGGATGTTCCACTCCAAGAATTATGCTGCTTGCATCTAAAACTTGCATCTCCAGCTTCTCTGCCTCTGTGTATTTTCCCAGGCTTCTATATGTTGCTGCTAGATTTCCCATGGCAGTGATTGTATCTGGATGTTCCACTCCAAGAATTCTGCTGCTTGCTTCCAGAACTTGCATATCCATGTTCTCTGCCTCTCTGTATTTTCCCAATTTTCTATATGTTGCTGCTAGATTTGTCATGGCATCAATTGTATCTGGGTCTTCCACTCCAAAAATTCTGTTGCTTGCTTCCAGAACTTGCATCTCCAGCTTCTCTGCCTCTATGTATTTTCCAAGGCTTCTATATGTTATTGCTAGATTTCCCATAGCCCAAATTGTGTGTGGATGTTCATCTCCAAGAATTATCTTTCTTGCATCTAAAACTTTACTCTTTAAGGTTTCTGCCTCCTTGAAATATCCTTGTTGATGCAACAGGATCCCAAGTTTTTCATAAGCATCATCCAAGTAACCAACACCATTCTCATTAGCTTCTGATCTTGATAGCTCCATATTTGCTCTTACATGTGTTACCAAGGCCCTGCGGAATCCATAGGGCTGATCCCATCTTAGTGAACAAGACAAAGTAACATATGCCATTGAGCAACATTGCTTCCTCTCATTTAAAAATATTCTGTCTCTGCCCCAGGCATGGACAAGTGGATGCATGGCATACACACAATCAGATGGGCCTTTCTTGATCAAGGAGAAGGACAGTAATATTCGAATTCCCTCTCGAAACATAAAGTTATCCCAAGCACCTGTTTTATTAAGTGGAAGTAGTCTCCGATCTAGCATAGAACTGGCAAGTGGCAATTCAGGATCAAGGCTTTCAACATCTTCTTCAAGTGCAGCATAAGAAAATATTTCCTCAGTAATTCCCTCATGATGGAAGAAAGGAAATAAATTGAGCAGAAGTATTGCACTATTTGCTCCATTGGCTCTGTGTAGATCATCAGATTCAGCCCTGTTCTGAATTTCTTTATATGATAATTCCCAAGTTCCATAAACAGTTCTGTTATACTTGGAAGTTCCAGTAAATTCAGAATGGTATAATAATGTTTCTCGGTGCTCTGAATATTTTGCAAGGTAATCTGCAAGAGTGGTAGCCCCAGATGCAATATAAGCACCAGCCTGATCAATAGCAAGAGGAAGGCAGAAGAACTCCTTCACAATCTTAGAAGCTTCAGCTTGAAACACAAAAGAAGATGGATCCAAGTAACTGGCTCTCAGAAGTAATTCAATGGCATCATTCTCATCCATCTCACTGACTTCCACAGAATTCTCAGGTGAAGTCAGATTCCTCATTGTGGAGTTGCGACTAGTTATCAGAATGTTTCCCCCCCTTCCAGGTGGAAGATAAGCCTCCAGCTCAGCAGGTGATAGAACATCTGCATTGTCAAAGACCATTATGTAGTTCTCTTTCAGTGAGCCAATCCAGTGAAGAGCAGATTCAGGTGAGCCATCTAGTCCACTAGACTGAGCTGCAGGAAGATTACAGATACCCTTTAGTCCCTGTGTGATAGTACCAACTGAGGAAGCATCAATCCAGAAAACAGGAGAGAAACTGAAGGCAATTGAAATATTAGAAATGAGGGTTGGACCTGCCTCTTTCATTACTCACCAGTCAGACATTTCCTCAACAAACTTCAAGCAAATCTGAGTCTTTCCAATACCCCCCATTCCATACAACAGGAAGAACTTTCTCTTCTGAGCTGAGTCATTTGCATCGGAAAAATGCCTCTTGAGTTTAGCAATGACTTCTGCGCGGCCTGTGAACCGATTGCTCGGATTGGCATAA